TCAGGAGAGCATTTACCACTCAGTTTCCTCACTTTTTTCCAGACTGCACTCATAGAAGAAGCAGAGGTGATGGTGGAAACATAGTCTCGCCAACAGTGCGTTAGCTTCACGGATGACACGGCGAGCATCGCACGCTTCTGCTTAAAATCAAGAAGTCTCTCAGCGGTTCTATTGTACTGGTACCTGCCCCATGCAGCGCGTTTCAAACGTACTGCACGAGCACAAGCAGGAGACCACCAAGGCACGCACTTTGAGAATGCCTGCCTGAGGTTTGGGGTATAGAATGAGAAGCTGCGGTATAAACTGACGTCGAGAAGAGGTGTAGGAGCTCATCAATGGAGGATGAAGAAGGAAACCTCACTAAAAGCAGTGAGGTGTGAGTAGGATCCCAATTTGCCCGATAAAATTGCCAGCGAGGGCTACGGAAAGGTGGTGAATAGGAAGGAGAAGTAAGAATGATTGGAAAATGATCGCTGTCATGTAAGTCCGGTAGAATAGACCAGGTGAAGTCTAGTGCAGTGGAGGAAGAGCAGACTGATAGATCGATGCAAGAGTATGAGTATGAGGATGAAAATGGGTGGGAGTACCCATATTTAAAACATGGAAGGGGTGAGGCGAGAAAAGCCTCCAACTGGATGCCACGTGAGTCACAATGAGACCCCCCCCAGAGGAAATGGTGGGCATTAAAATCACCAAGTAACAGAAGTGGTGGTGGTAAGGATGAAACAAGAAAGGCAAAGTCTGGGATAGAAAATGCCTCGAGAAGGAGAGAGATATAAAGAACATATTGTAAACCACTTATTCAAGTGGATACGGGCTGCAGTGTAATGCAGCGAGGTATGGACAAATAGTTGACAGTACGGAATATCATTGCGTAGAAGGGCACTTTCATATAAAGGTCCCATCTGAGAAAGGATCCGAAGAATACAATAAAATTATAGCCTGAGATAGGTTGGAAAACAGCGAGTGTAATTTTGGTTCTTGTAAGCAAGCACCAACAGGGAAAAACCTGGAAAGCAACATCTGAAGCTCACCCCGATTACCCGAGGCCACGGATATTCCACTGTAAATAGGCCATAATTGGCGATGAAGAAAATACCAGGAATCTGTAGGTAAAGGCACCTACGGACTAGAGGGGTTAGAAAAGTCAACGTGTGGTGGCATTGGAAGACGTTCAAGCAGCGAAGGAATGGAGCGTTGCGAAGAATGGGGTTGTGAAGATGGAGGAGAGGAAAGAGAAGGAACAGGAAGTGAATCAGTGTCCATTGAAGGTTTAGTCTCTGCAATATATTCTGAAATGGCTTCAAGTGTTTCTGAATTCAAAGATGTATGGGAGACCATATTGGAGATAGAAGGAGGAGGGTGAGTAAAGATTGGGACAGTAATGGACTGTACCAAAGTAGAGGGGGAGGGAAGAGTGTAAGGACTGGAGATGAAGTGTGGGGGGGGGGGACAGAAGAGGCAGAAACCTGGGAGGGCAGAAGAGGGAGAAACTGGGAGGGGACGGGGGTGGAAGGCATAGTACGAGGAGGAGGGTCAATCTCCAACTGTAATAGAGCCAGAGAGAGGGGAAGAATAGGTATAGAGACTGGAAAGGTAAAGTGTGGAGGTGGAAGAAGGGAAGGAAGGGGCAAAGAAGATTTGAGCAATGTGGATTTTTTGGACTTCTGAGAAGTAGAGGGGCGATTGGTATTATGTGTCGTACGAGGTTTTGTCGATACTGGGGCTTGTGAGGAAGGACACAAAGATGTGAGAACAGACTGAGTTGTAGTCGGGACGTCAGAGCCAAGGACAGCAAAAGGATTAGATGCCGGAGTGGCTATGGGAGGGGTAACAACAGAGGAGGCTGCAGAAGATGGGACCCAGAAGTGGGGGGATGTTTGGAAACATGAGAATAAGAAACACGGGGTAGTCTCCCTTGGAGGCGGAGATGAGTAACTGCCATAGCATAAGGGAGACCTTCGGCCTCTTTGAGGCAACGGATTTCACGTTCATTTAAGTAGACCTGGCAACGGCGGGAGTACGAAGGGTGAGCTTCATTACAATTAAGGCAAGATGGAGGTTGACTGCACGATGTATTAGAATGGTCGTCGGCACCACAGACTGGGCATTCGGCCATAGATCTGCAATATTTCGCTGGGTGACCAAAACGCCAGCAGTTTCTACATTGCTGCGGTGTAGGTATCACCTTTCGAATTTGTAACCAATGTCCCGCGACATATACAGAGGACGGGAGTTCTCGGCTGTCAAAAGTTAAACGAGCCACATTGCAAGGGTAACGTCTCCGCCCCCGGGCAGGAAGGACATAAGTGTCTACTTTGAGGATTGGGAGATCCTGGAGTTCCAGCTGTTCAAGAATGTCATTGCCACATGACTGGAAATTCTGTTGGACTATGGTATGGGGCAGAATGACAATACCACTACAAGAATTGAGAGAAAGATGTTTTTCAATAGTGATAGGAGTAGTAACGATATTCGAAAGGAGAGAAAGATCATGAGCTTGGGTAGCATTCTGGACAGTGACGATGCGCGTACCGCTCTTGAGAGCATGAAATGAAATATCTCTACCAACATGATGCAGGAGCGCTTTGCCAATACTATGGTCAGAAAGGTAGGCAGAAGAAGAAGTCGGTCTTAAAGTAAAGAATTTAGTCCATTGTGTGGTCCGAAACTGAGCGTGGAGAGGGAGTGCTTGACGTGTCGGTCTTTTCGAGTAGAATGGAAGGTAACGAAGGAGCATCATCAGGAGATTGACGTTGGCGTTTAGGAGTAGGACCGGAGTTGGTCCGGCGTGAAACGGGCGGGCGATTCGAAAATTGCCGTATTGTAGAGGGAGAAGCCGGAAGCATAGTCAAAGGAGAGTGGAGTTCAGACAAATCGAAGGAGTCAGTCGAAGCCCAGGTACCTGAAGCGGGTGAGGAAACAGCACCAGCAAGAGGTACAGGGGCATCAGGAGTGTCTGAAGAGTGGTCTAAACACAAGGCAGGGTCAGAATGGGGTGTGGTATCAAGAAGGGGCCTGGGGGTAGTGGGTTCATGGATTGGGTTCTCCATGGTTAGGTTACTCCTTTGCTTTTTGTTTTTAAGAAAAAAAAAGAAAGAAGAAAAGAAAATAAAAAAAGAATAAAAAAAGGGGGAGCAGGGAGGAATAGTTCCCAGGAGGAATGAAAGGGCCGGAAATCTCCCTCCGTGCCCAAGAGGACCTCAGCACCGCTAGTAGCGCAGATGCAGCATGGAACCCGTGCCATACCCTACCCTTCATGCCAGTAAACCAGCAATCCGGGATAGCAACCTCACATCTGCCGAGCTACCTCGGTGGACAAAAGAGAGGGCGGCCGGATATCCGCCACAAAGCATACCTCCTTCGGCCACCACCCCCGGAATCCGAAAGGTGGCTTCCAGAGATACACCCGTCGCCCGAAAGACACCCAAAGCTACTCTGGGATACAGGAGAGGGATTGGGACATCCCCAGGCGATCCAGATTCCACGGCAAACTACACGCCACCCAAGAACCTCAACGGAATGGGATGGACCCCGGTGTCCTTTCCCCTACCTAGGAACTAGCTCACCTGTGGGAGAAATCCCAAAGGCCAAAAAGAGGAAGGGCAAAAGGGACGGGTGGGGGGGAAGAGGAGGAATGGAAAAAGGGGAGGATGGGGAGGATGGGATAGGGGAGGGGAGAATGGGGGGTAATTAGGTTTGGTCTGAGGAAGAAGACCAACAGGTCTAATTCCTCAGACCAAGAGCCTCTTCACCACGCGAAGGAGCCCCCCTTGAAGAGGCAGGGAGGTATAACATCTTTCAGAAGTGCAGAAGAGCCAAATGTGAGAATGGTGGAAGTGCATAAGGCAGTGGGTAAAATGAAAGGGGATAAATCAGCTGGGATTAATGTGATCAAGATGCAAATGTTAAAAGCAGGTGGAGATATAGTTTTAGAGTATTTGGGATTTTTGCTCAATGAATGAATGAGAGAGAGGAAGGTGCCTATGAAGTGGGAGAAAGTGTGCATAGTTCATTTATATAAAGAAAAGAGGGACAAAAGAATGTAAAAATTATAGGGGAATAAGCCTTTTGAGTATACCAGATATAGTGTATGGTAGAGCTATTATTGAAAGAATTATGGGCAAGACAGAGAGCAGGAACGCAGAAGAACAAGGAGGCTTTAGGAAAGGTAGGGGATGCACAAAGTGTTTATACTGAAACAAGAAACTATATTAAGATAAAGATAAGGAAGTTTATGCTGCACTCATGGATTTAGAAAAGGCATATAATATGGTGGAAAGGGAAGCAATGTGCCAGAAGCTGCAAGTGTATGGAATAGGTGGCAGGTTACTGAAAGCAATTAAGAGTTTTCATGAGGATAGTGGGGCCCAGAGGAGGAGAGAAAAGGAGGAGGAGGAGAGAAAAGGAGGAGGAGGAGAGAAGAAGGAGGAGAGGAGAGAAAGGAGGAGGAGAGAAGAGGAGGAGGAAAGAAGAGGAGGAGGAGAGAGGAGGAGGGAGAAAAGAGGAGGAGGGGAGAAAAGAGGAGGAGGAGAGGAAGAAGAGAAAGAGAGAGAGGAGAGAGAGAAGAGAGAAGAAGAGAAAGAGAAAAGAGAAAAGAGAGAAGAGAGAAAGAAGAGAAAAGAGAAAAGAGAAAAGAGAGAAAAAAGAGGAAAAGAGAAAAGAGAAAAGAAGAAGAAAGAAAAGAGAAAAGAGAAAGAGAAAAGAGAAAAAGAGAAGAAGAGAGAAGAGAAAAGAAAGAGAAAAGAAAAGAGAAAAGAGAAAAGAGAAAGAGAGAAGAGAAAAGAGAAAATGAGAAAAGAGAAAAGAGGAAAGAGAAAGAGAGAGAGAAGAGAAAGAGGAAGGAAGAGGAAGAGAGAGAGAGAGGAGAGAGAGAGGAAGAGAGAGAGAGAGAGAGAGAGAGAGAGAGAGAGAGAGAGAGAGAGAGAGAGAGAGAGAGAGAGAGAGAGAGAGAGAGAGAGAGACAGGAGAGAGAGACAGAGAGAGACAGAGAGGAGAGAGAGAGAGAGACAGAGAGAGACAGAGAGAGACAGAGAGAGACAGAGAGAGACAGAGAGACAGAGAGACAGAGAGACAGAGAGAGAGACAGACAGACAGACACACACACACACTCTCTCTATTTTCTTGGTTTGCCTGCCCCCCCCTCTCATTTGCGAACTGCTTGACAGAGTGGAGAACAGAGCAAGATGTCTCATCTCTCGCCAGGACCCATCCTGGATAGATCTGTCATTTCAGCAGAGCCTTCAACACAGGAGGGATGTGGGTGGCCTTACTGCTATGTACGAGGCCAATATTGTCAAAGTACCACACTTGGATCCACTTCGAGGACAGCGTGAAACAAGCTTTTATGCCACAAGACTGGCAGAAAGCAACAACTTCACTCTGGCTGTACCCTTCTCCAGAACATCACTCCATCTGAGATCATATATACCCAGGATGACTTGAGTATGGAACACATTTGTACAGCATAATGATGTCAACGAGATAAAGTCAGTTGATCAAATGAAAATGCTGGCCCACATATGGCTCCAACTTCATCTTGTTCCCTACTTGTATGTCTCATAACAATAAAAATGCTTTCAAATGAGCTGATGTAGGTAACAGCTCTAAGCTTGCCAATAAAGTTAGGAATCCTTAACCTGTAAATAGCTTGTCAATAAAACTAGGGATCCTTAACCTTGTCAAACCCTGTGGGGGTAATGTGCCTTATACAAGACCACAGACCTACATCCCTGCAGCTGCCTCAGTACCCTACCTCTCTCAAGAGCAGCCACCTTACATGCCTTACTCACCAACCACCTCAAGCTGAACACATCATGAGGAGCCAGTCTATCTGCATCCTGTCGGCCAACATTAGAGGTTTCATTGCCAGTGTTGGAGAGCTCACACACAGTTTTGTGAACACTCAATGTCCGGACATGATAGCTGTTTTTGAAACATTTTTGGATGACAGGACTCCAGAAAATTTTGCAAGAACTGCTGGCTACACCTCATGGATGAGAAGAGACAGGCAAGGGCAAGGAGGTGGTGTTGCTATGTGCTTCTCTAAAAGTGCACATGCCCAGCACATTGATGCTGCCATCCCTACTCATCTTGATATGATGGTCTTCAAGCTATGCATAAACACTAGTACCTCTGTACTAGTATGTGCAATGTACAGACCTCAGTGGCAACATGCAGACCCCATCAACTTCCTACTGGAAAATGTGAACTCCCTTCTGCTTCAATACAACTGTCAACATATCATAATTGTTGGTGACCTCAACCAACAACTTATACAGATGGACTATAATGACCTTCTTGCAGTGTTTGACATGAGTAACTTTGTTGATTTCCCTATTCACATCTCTGGCTCCTCCCTTGACCCAGTAGTGAGTGATCTGGCAGAAGGTACAGTCACTTGTCAACCCCTCGGCTATGTTCGATCGTCTGACCACAAGGCTGTTTTTACAACACTTAAGATCCCAAAAGAATGAAGTGAGGAGTCCACACGCACTATCTGGCTATGAGAATAAGGTAATTGGCCAGCCCTTTGCTCTGAGCTTGCCACCACCAATTGGAATGCTCTTCTCCAAGGGGATGTTAACAACCAAGTGAAAGCCTTCACTGGACACATTCTTAATCTACAACAAGAACACATCCCTCACCGGCAGTACGTGATGAAGCCGACAGATCAGCCTTGGTTTGGCTTCAGTTGTAGAGAGGCTGCTACTGCTAGGTACAAGGCATGATGAAGGTATAAGAGACATCCTACCACCTATAACAGGAACTTGCATACACGAGCCTGTAGGCATATGGGTGAGGTTCAAAAGTGGGCCATTGCTAAATGGGAGGTGAACACAAAAAGAAAGCTAGCATCAGGTAGAGTAGGCTCCAAAACCTAGTGGTCCCTGGTTAAGACCAGACAAGGTTATCTGCCTGATGAACTCATTCCACCTCTAAATTAACAGAATGGGACCACCTCTACTAGTAGTTAAGAGAAAGCTGACCTCTTTGCCAAACACTTTGCTACCAAAATACAAGTTCCTGGTCCAGCAAGGGACCCTCGGCTAGCTGCAAGTACTGTGTTAAAACTGTCATTGGTGACAATAAGGCAGGAGGAGGTGCATTTCCTTCTTAAATCGCTTGACCAAGAAAAGGTTGTGGGCCAAAAAAGTTGTGCCCAAGATTGCTTAGAGGATATGCAGACCAGCTAGCAGCAGGGGGGTTGCCATAGGAATGATTGGAGGGAAGGGGTAAAAGAGGTGATGTGTGCGAGAGGCTTGGACATCCAGCAGGCATGTTAGAGGATGGTAGAAATGAGTGGGGACAGACAAATGATTCTTGGGACTTGACAAGCTGTTACAGTATAAGCAAGGTAACATTTGTGAAGGAATTCAGACTTGAGATGTGGAGGTGTAAAGTACAGTGCCTGCACTCTCAGGAATGGTTAGGGATATCTGTAGTGGCATCTCAGTTAGTATTAGCATGACTCTGGCAAGACAGTGATGGAGTGATATTATTATTATACAGCCTCTCCTCACTTAGCAATGTACTTGTTTACCGATGACTTGGAGTTATGAGGGTTTTCTGACCAGTAGGCATATCTACATAATGTATATTAGAGCTGATTTCTTCTCTTCTGTTTATCATTATATACAGTACACTACTGTATAAACATCTAAAAATATACCAGAAATGTTATCAATGGTGCAAAGGTGACATTAAAACAATATTAAAGATGCTCGACACAAACCCACTACCATTATAGTATGCTCCTCACAAAGTGACGAATTTGTTTACTGACATGGTCTTAGGAACAGAACTCTGTCGTTAAGTGAAGAGAGGCTGTAATCAAAACTAAGCACTAAATCTAGTGAAGTGAATGATGGAAAAAGTGTTTCTTCTTTTTCAGGTCACCCTACCACAGTGGGAGACGGCCAGTGTGTTAAAAAAAAAATCCAAATGCTTTAATTTTGAATTTTTTTTTGGAAATTCAGAATTATTTAAATTTTCAATTTGGAAAAATCTCACTATTTAAGAACATTTTGTCTGAACAAGAGACATCTGATTTTTATTAGTATTCATAATTATCCATAAGTCAAACACCCTGTGCACACTTTAGTCTCAATGAGATATTGCTGCATTAGATTGCAAATCTTTATATAACTTGTCACATGTCAATCACTGTGCATACAGCTGTTATAAGAATTATATTATATATGTTTTAATTTCTTTTGGTGTATAGTTGAAGTAAAATGTAACTGATTTCAGACTTGGAAATGTTTTGCATTAAAAAAGTAATACAGTATTAATAACATTAGCAATGGACTGGAATTATTTTATATCTTTTAATTACAGTATTCTGTTATGACTCACAAACATTTTAACTGCCATAATTTTTGTTGGAAGGGGTGGGGGGGGGGATTCATCGTGGTTTCTGATCTGCAATTATTGTGAGATCAGTGAGCACCGATGACAGGAGAGCAGTAGCATAGTGCTGGATAGCACGGGGTGCAGGGCGCAGACTGGGGCATAGAGTTGGGTGTAGTGCCAGCAAAGAAGGAGGGCACGAGGGTCAAGAAGTAGTGGTGCGGGGGGTATGTGGCCTTGGAACTGGCAAGGAGGACGGTCTTTGTGGGCCTTGACTAGCAGCTTGTCGGCCACCTTCTGACTGATTACCAGAGTGACTTCCAGATAAACTTCCAGAGAGGGATGACTGACTCGATTCTGAGAGTTCAGCTTCATCACGACCAGTTGTATCTGCTTCCCCACCCTCGGTTGAATCAACAGAAAGAGTAGATGCGTCAAGAGCTGTTGCATTAAGATCAGTTGAGGCTACAGAAGTCATGGAATTAATCATTTCTGGGTTTATAAACTGATCTAAATGGGGTGGCTGTTTCTGGCAAGCTACTGGAGTTCCATCTGAACCATCACTAGATGGATCTCCACAACTGTCATCATCACAATGAATCTTGCCACTATTATTAACATTACTACCACCTACACCAACAATACCCTCAACACAAATTGTATTATCATTATGATTTGATGGAGATTTCACAATTGAAGTAGTTAGGGCACGTATTGAGTGTGTGAGTGAGGTTACTGATTCACTGAGAGGAACAGGAATTGATGCTACACTCTGAGATGGTGGTGAATCACCTCCTCCTGGTGACCTTTCATGGCCTGATCCACTAGACTGGGACATTGTGAGCAGTGACTGTGACCCTGGTAGATTGCAAAATGCATTCATCACTTGTGTAACCATTGACAATGATTCTTGAAGCTGTCCAACCTGAAAATATAAATATAAGCAGTACTAATCAGAGGAAAATTATCATTATTTTATACTATATACATAACTAAATCTCAATAATTGGAAATCAACAGGAATAAGAATTTTGTTATAATTAGGATTTTGGGCTTAAAATGAGGATTTTATATTTTATTAGGGGAAGTGCTAAACCTGAAGGGTTCATATAGAACCTGGGGACTGGAAGGCACCTCCCTGGGGTAAAATTAGGAATGACAACCCTAGCACTATTGAAAAAAAATTCCACTAACTCAATAATATATCTGTTACCTTTTATAACTTGATAAAACTTTACAACAGTAAAGAAAAAAATCAAAGTATCCACTCCAATCAGCCATTTCTGCATAACTACAGTGCAAAGTACACAAAGCTAGCCAAATAATCAGTGACTTGTAAACAAGAGCACTAATATTTTCCAGTAAAAGTAAGCCTTAGAGGGATGTGTGATGTCACCATGGCTGTTTAACATATTTATAATTTTTTTTTTTCAACACACCGGCCGTATCCTATCGAGGCAGGGTGACCTAAAAAGAAAAATGAAAGTTTCACTTTTTAAATTTAGTTATTCATACAGGAGAAGGGGTTACTAGATCCTTGCTCTCGGCTATCTAGCTGCCTCTTATGACACATGGCTTAAGAAGGAAGAATTCTTTTCCACTTCCTCATGGAGATTTACAGATAAGGTTGTAAAAGAAGTGAATGCTAGGATGCTTGGGAGAGGTGTGGGATTAAAATATGTAGAATCTAATACAAAATGGGAATTGTCACAATTGCTTTTTGCCAATGACACTGTGGTTTTGGAAGATTCTGAAGAGAAGCTGCAAAGGTTGGTGGAAGAATTTGGGAGGGGATGTAAAAGAAGGAAATTAAAAGTAAACACAGGAAAGAGCATGGTGATGAAGGTAACAAATAATTTAGATAATGAAAGACTGGATATCAGATTGGAAGAAGGGAATATGCAGGAAGTGAATGTGTTCAGATATTTGTAAGTGGACTTGTTGGCAGATGGGTCTATGAGAAATGAGGTGAAACATAGAACTGATGAGGGTAAAAAGGTGGGTGTGCACTGAGGAGTCTATAGAGGCAAAGAACATATCCATGGAGGCAAAAAGGGAAATGTAGGAGAATACAGTATAGTGGTACCAACACTCTTACATGGGTGTAAAGCATGGGTTGTGAATGTCGCAATGAGGAGGCTGGAGGCAGTGGGGACATTGTGTCTGAGGGCAACATGTGGTGTAAATATTATGCAAAGAATTAGTAGTTTGGAGTTTAGGAGGTGCAGGGTTGCTAAAAGTATTATCCTGAGGGCTGAGGAGGGGTTATGGAGGTGGTTTGGATATTCAGAAAGGATGGAACAAAACAGGATGACTTGGGGGTATGCAAATCTGTAGTGGAGGGAAGGTGGACCAGGGGTCACCCTAGGAAAGATTGGAGGGAGTAAATGAAGTTTTGTGTGTGAGGGGCTTGGACATCCAGTAAACATGTGAGCATGTTAGATAGGAGTGGCGGCAAATGATTTTTGGGACTTGATGAGCTGCTAGTGTGTGGGCAAGGTAACATTTGTGTAGGGATTCAGGGAAATCTGTTAGCCAGGCTAGAGTTCTGGAGATGGAAAGTACAGTGCTTGCACTCTGAAGGAGGGGTGGGGATATATGTAGTTTGGAGAGGCATCTGAACTGTACTTTTGGTACACCTCTAGCAAGACAGTGATAAGAGTGAATGATAGTGAAAATGTTTCTCCTTTCCTTGGGTCACCCTCTCTCAGTGGGAAATGGCAGGTGTGTTAAAAAATGTAAACATTACAATAGTTTTTATTTTGCTTCATTTATTTTTTTTACAATATTTCATTCAAATTTGTTACCTTAAATACATTATCTTCATCTGCAACTTATATCTACAGATTGCAACAGAGTTAATCCATATATTCAGAAAAAATGATTATGACAGATGCTCTTTTAAATCTATCACTAAGCTCTGATTAATTTCTTATCAGTGATCATAGTTGTGAATTAAAAATGCAATATATCTTTAAGGAAGGACCAGTGCATCTTCATACAAAAGCATCTTTACAAATTTAAATGAAACACTATAAAATGTACTTACTAAAAATGATTTGGAGAAAGAGGCTTGCAAGACTAACATCCATTTTACAGTATGCTACTGCAGAGTCAATTGACTGATTCTCATTACATGCAACAACATAGAGATGCTTAATATCATTACTTGTAATATCATTGAATACTGTACAAAACAACACACATAATCTGCATGCAAAACTGCATATCCCAAGCAAAAGAATTTATAAGATGAAACCGTATAAAGTATTAATATATAAAATACTTATATAAGTGTTTTATATATTAATACTTGATATAAATTATTGAAACATAAGTAATTATGTTTCAATAATTTTTATCAATACTTTCTGCATATAACTTTTATTTGCTTGTATCAATATGAAAATAACAAGAGGGCACAGGATCCAACTGTGGAAGGATAGTCCTCTGGTTTACATTACTAAATGTTAATAGATGTAGGATCACTGGCCCTATGGCCTGATCTTAAACAAGGCTGTACTAATTTGGTAATTAATTAAATGAAGTGCTCTACTCACCTGTCCTTGCAGGGATGCACAAAACTCAGTCAGTTCTTTTACACTCTCTTCAGAATACTTTTTAGTGCCTGCTGGAGCAGAAGCAGCTCCTTCTTTGGAATCCAAGGGTGTAAGTGGTGTTAGAGGTGTTATTGGGGTAGAGGGAGTATTGACACCATCACGTTTACTAGCCTGCAGTTTTTGAATTTCTCGCCACAAGGTACGAATAGCATCTAATTGCATATGTCGAAGACGCCTTTCACGTTCTAGGGCCTCTTCGGTGGAACGTAACTTCTCTGTTAAATGTCTGTTGATGAAAAAACATTCTCATTGGCTGAAATAGAACATAAAATGTGTGCTTTACTAATTTAGTACTTGTAATGATTCACAAAACTGAGTTCCACGGGCTTCTGCACAATGGATTACTGTACACTTTTTTTAGAACATGCACAAGGAGAGAAACCAGAAAACACATAAAACACACACATGAGCACAAACACACACATGCAGTATCAATATAGAACCCACACCTGAAAAAACAGGTTAAGTAACTGGAAAAAAGTGCAGAAGTATACAACGAGTCTTATTCCAAAGCTATGGGACATGACCTATGAGGAGAAGCTAACGAAAATGAATCTAACAACATTGGACAACAGCAAAACTAGGGAAGATATGATAACAATATGAAATACTGAGAAAAATTGATAGGGTAAACAAGGAAAGACTGTTTGAGAGGTGAGGAACAGGTACGAGTAGACAAAAAAAATGGAAGTTAAACACACAAATAAACCACAGAGATGTCAGAAAGTATTTCTTTAGTCTCACAGTGGTCGGGAAGTGAAATGATCTCAATGAAGTGATGGAGGCAGGCTTCATACATAATTTTAAGAGCAGGTACGACAGGGCCCATGAGATTAGGAGAACGTTAATCTGGCAAGCGGCAAGTTGACGGGTGGGGCCAGGAGTTAGGACTTGACCCCTGCAACCACATATAGGTAAGTACAAATAGGGAAGTACAAGCATACACATGTATTTACTAGCAAGATTAAAATTTGACAGACACTTAAAAAACATAAGTGGACAACCAGGAGCAAGATATACAGTACATGGCTACAGGAACAAGTCAGTATAAAACTTAGTGGTAGTGACTTAAAATAAGGAAATAAGAAGAGACAGAAACATCAACACAGTCACTGTTTACAGTGAAAACAAGGAGAGCACCACAGAGTGTAACCAGCACTAGGTCAACAAGGGTGACTGCAAGATCAGTATACACCTACAGGTACAAAATAGAATGACTTGGAGGTTAAATAAATCTGTAATGGAGGGAAGATAGGGCAGGGATTATATTAGGAGAGGTTGGAGAGAGGGAAGGTAAAGGAGGTTTAGGATATGAGGGACTTGGACATTCAACAGCTGTGTGAGAGCATGTTGGATGAAGGGAGGCAAGAGGATGGGTGGTCGAGTGCTTTTGGAGAGTATAGGTACTGTGTTAGCTTTTATGACTTGATGAGCTGTTGAAGTGCAAGCATGGTAACATTTATAAAGTAATTTAGGGAAATCAGTTAGCTGAACTTGAGTCCTGGAGGTGGGAAGTACAGTGACTGCACTTCGAAGGAGGGGTAGGTATACTGTAGCCTGGAGGGAAATCTGAACTGTAGTATCAACACACTTCTGGCAAGGCAAAAATGAAGTGAGTGATGGTGAAAGTGTTTCTTCTTTTTTTAGAGGTCATCTTACCTCAGTGGGAGACAGCCAGTGTGTTATGAGAAAACAAAACCAGATAAACATGTGAATACAGTGAGGTGGAATATCAGGCTGGGTGTGACACAAGGGGTGAGTGTGGAGTCTGCCTAGCTTGGGGCAGTAGGCCTACTGCAGTGTTCCTACTAAGCTGTTGCTATTTGGTAAAATAGCAACAGCTATGTTGTATAAGCTGTTGATCTAGTTAAAATGAATTTGTGTGATGATTCTAGAATTCTACATCTCTGGGTGTTCTCTTCCTTGACAAGTAATGTGCCATGTAAGTAATCAAATAATTTTTGGAGTTTCACAATGAAATGCAGATGTTCAGCAATGCATTTGTGGGGTCTTCCTAGATATTTTCCCCACATATTTTGTAATGATCAGTGAAAGGAAATGAACTTGCTGGTGGTTTCTTACTAGTGATGTCCTTGATTGTACAAGAGTATATACATCTTGAGTTATGTATTTATCAATTTACATATGCTGAGAGTTTACTTTAACTAATAAACATTGTCTGCTCTTCTTTCATTCATATCATGACACCAAGACTAAACATGGCATCCAAGCTCTCGATATCTGTATCTGTCAATTTCTTGAGGAATAAGGCTCTTTCCTTGAACGAGCCTTTCTAACTTCACTTCCCTCTTCACTTCATCAGAGACTGCAGTGCACATAACATCACAACTCATCCAGAGAAGGCACCAAAGAAGCAAAATACATAATTGTCCCTAACAACTCTATTGTCAGATATATCTCCAAGTAGCCACCACTGCCTCCACTATGATCAAGAACTTCACCAGTAAGAAACACCACTACTAAGCCAAACCAATGCAATCCCTTGCAATGATTGTGACAAGCTATACATAGAGAATACAACAAATTCTAACCACATAATAGAGAGGAAAAACTAATGTGAAGGACTTGGGAGTGATAATGTCAAGATCACAACTGTCATTATCACATCTACAGTGGACCCTCGGTTATCGACCGTAATCCGTTCCAGAAGGTTGGCCGAAAACTGAAAGGGCCGAAAACCCAAATAATATTTCCCATAAGAATTAATGTAAATACAATTAATCCATTCCAGACAAAAATATTCACAAAAAATATTTTTTTTTACAATTACATGTATAAATATTACATACCTTTATTGAAGGTTAATGCTGGCTTCTGGAAGACAGGGAGGAGTTAAGTGTTTGGAAGGGGAATCCCCCTCCATAAGAACTTTAGGTAGCAAAGCCTTCTCTGAACTTTTTTATTTTTCGTTCGATTTCTTTCATTTTTTTGTACGTAAAGAAGCACCTTTCAATAGTAATGTGACCAAGTTTCAATAAGATAGCTCAAAAAACAACTGAGAAAAAAATTATTTACTAATAATCATACATATTGAACAGTAATTTCGTAATGGGACTTGGAGAAGCTGTTTTGGCATTATCTACGCATAAAACAATGCTAAACTGTATTTCAAATGGACTCCGAACTGTAATTTATCCTTTCTTCATTCTTAAAAAAAAATAAAGTTTGTATGGTTTTGACATTCAGCCAAATATCTGACTTTTGCCCTCACAAAATCAAAAACAAATTATGATATCTCAATGAGGCCTCCATTTGCTTGTAAAACAATCTTTCCTTTATGTTCTCTGTGAATTTCATTACATTCCTGCTATTATTAACAAATATACTGGCTTATATATGCGAATAACTTACTTCCGAGATAATCCGCGAAACAGCTGGACCACCGATTTTTTTATTTTTCGAGAAAATAGCATTTTTCTCAGCATTACGAGTGTATATCATAGTTACCCCATGTTCGTTTTCTTTAATATAAGGACCCTGGAGGTGAAAGAAGGAGAATGGAAGCCCCTCCCTGAGGATGGGAATCTTTTATTCCAGAGGGAACGCTCTGAGAACATGCCATAAATTATTCATTCTGGAGTATTTACCATATTTCTTTGTTATTTATATTGTTTATTATGTCATATTAGATCAATTGTGATAGATAAATAAGCCGTAGAAGCTTTAATAGCATTATATTGAAGCATATTCCCCGGCCACCCCGAGACTGGAATTTTCCATGACGTCAGCAAAATGGTGCCAGAAGGTTCCTGGTTGGCTGTAAGTCTACGTATAAGTCCCACCCACTGTATTATGATGCCAAATCATCAATTATTATCTTAGAAAGAATAATACAATAAATACACGAAAAAAAAAAAATGAAAATTGACGACAGGTGAGCACACCTGCCGCGGGTGGTGACGTCACCCTAGGTGTTTTAAATGACCATAATTCCTTGCAGGAATGTCGAAGAACAATGATCTGGTACCATTGTGTTGCCAGAGAGTTAAGCTATTTTTCTATAAGATTAACTCAATTTGTGAATTTTTTGGCAAAAATTTTTTCATTTGCGCTGAGTACACGCAATTACCCCTTAATGCCACTAGGACCAGCTTGAGAGTCTCACAAAATAACTGTCTAGAGTGCTCCGTTTCTGGCATCTCTTTAAGATTTCCCTGAAGTGAGACAGGGTTTTGTCACTGAACATGTTGCAGATATGGCTTGTTTCAGCTTTGTCAGGGTGGTACTTCTTGACAAAACTTTGCACATCATCCCACTTTGCACAAATGTTCTAAATCAGTGAAGAAGGCACCTCCTTCACTCCCTCTTCCTCCTCCTCTGAAGTAAGTTCCTCAGCTGCAGTCTGTTGCTGTTCAAGTTGAAGCTCTTGCAGCTCTTCAGTGGTTAGCTCTTCCCTGTGGTCCTCCACCAACTCTTCCACATCCTCGCCACTCACCACCAACCCCAGGGACTTCCCCAGTGCCACAATAGAGTCCACAGGGTTGGCAGGGTCAGGGTCAGCCTCAAACCCTTCAAAACCCCTCTCTTGGACACAATCTGGTCACAGTTTTCTCCAAGCAGAGTTCAAAGTCCTGGAAGTCACTCCCTCCCAAGCCTTTCCTATAAGGCTTATGCAATGGAGGATAGTGAAGTGATTCCTCCAGAACTCTCTTAGAGTCAACCGAGTGTCCAATGTCACTTCAAAGCACTTTTGAAACACTGCTTTTGTGTAGAGTTTTTTGAAGTTAGAAATGACCTGCTGGTCCATGGGCTGGAAGAGAGGAGTGGTGTTAGGAGGCAAGAAATTCACTTTTATAAAACTGAAGTCACTAAATACTTGGTCTTCTAAGTCTGGAGGATGTGCAGGAGCACTGTCCAGTACCAGGAGGCACTTGAGTGGCAATTTCTTTTCCAGGAGGTATTTTTTCACACTTGGGCCAAACACATCATTAACCCACTCTTTGAGAATTTGCCTAGTGACCCATGCCTTATGATTAGCTTTCCACATCACACACAATCTATTCTTCATGACATGGTTTTTCTTGAACACTCTGGGATTTTCTGAGTGATACACGAGCAAACGCTTCACTTTGAAATCCCCACTAGCGTTACCACACAACAAAAGAGTAAGCCTGTCTTTCATAGGCTTGTGTCCTGGCGGTGCCTTTTCCTCCTGGGTAATGTAGGTCCTGTTTGGCATTTTCTTCCAAAACAGGCCTGATTCAT